ATCAAAGCAGCCAATCAGAGGAGCCCAAATCTGTACAATAGATATAACGTGTAGGAAAAAAAAATTCGCGTCCCGGCCGCGTCTATTTTTTCAGTACCACTAATGCGTAACGCTGTTTTATGGTGCCTTGTGACCCTAAACCTAAGGACGTGGATATTGGTCCGATCAAAATATACACACAAGTACAAACAGTCAACCCAACCCTAACCGTGACACTAACTCTAAACCAACTCGCGGCTATCTTATATACGCGTGTCATAGTACCCAAATTAATCTATCATCATGTGAGATCAGAGGCCGAATTTAATTTCATGAAAGCCTCTGAATCATGACAGCCAAAATCTAATTTTCAGTGAAAGGTTCCTGGTTAAATTATTATCAATGTGCATAATAACTATTTATAGCCACAACATGTTCATGTGTTTTCTCGTGCCAGGAAGTGTCTTTAGCAATGTTAGTTCTATAGCAGAGAAATACAGAGTGAAGTTGCGAGAAAAAACGTTTTCGCTCTAACCCTATCTACAGAAAAACACGTGATTAAATTAATCTGTTGTGTTTCTTCACGTCGGTTGTAAAATAATTATCACATCGCCGTATTTTTTGTTTTTTTGTCGTTAATAACTTTGTTAATTGTTACGGAGGAATAAAATGCGCAGTTATTTGCCTGTAGGAAGGATAAAAAGCACCCTAAACGCGTTTTGTTCTAGCGCGAAATGTTCGCTTTTGAAATTGTTTTAAACACAAGTAGGAATCTTCGATTTTGATGCCCCGCAATTGCGGTTTGGATCTACTGTTTATTACTCGTCACTGTAGCTTAATTTTAGTTAGGGTTGGTAAAACTATAGGCGCATTTTTATTATTACAAATAACTCGTATAATTATAAATGTCCCGTTGCGTCGTACACATGCTCTCAAATATATCATTTTTTAGTGGTGTTAGTTCTAGCTACCCCTAAAGCATATATACGCAAGTAATTTTGTGTTTTCTTAAAAATTTATTTGGCCATATCTATCCGTTTCTGCGGACAAGCAAACTAGAGGCGAGTACCGTATATTTTACTGTGTGAATCCATGTTTGAAGGGATATTGCTTCGATTAATTAGCATCGAACGACTGTATTATGAATTATTATTATTGTTACTGTTAGTATAAATAGTATAAACAATAATAAATATAGCGCGGTTCTATCAATCATAAATGGTTTGCACGAAAATGACTGTATAAGTATTTCTATCTCGTTTATAAATGGAAATTTCCACGTTAAAATCTATGCTCGGCAATTTACTTGTTGACTTTTCTTGCTGTTAAACGAAAACGTAACACACACATCAGATCTGAATAACTCAGAAATTGTAAGTTTAGGCATGTGCGTAACATATTGGAATAGGACGCGGTTGTCCCGTGTTCAATTCTTGTGAGGTATCTTCTTAAAATATTTTCAAATTCTTGTTGAGTAAAATGTAACACATAGTTTCGTTCTGAAAATATAAGGAATAATGTGTTTGGGTGCTAGCGTAGCTTGCTGGGCTGGTACTCAATAATCCCGGGTTCAAAACTTGTCAACTACGGTAAGATATTTTCGAGATGTTGTATAGGCGAAATATAAACACAACTGGACCATGACCATGACTTCAATCGAGTCAACTTGACCGTGACCATGACTTCAATCGAGTCAACTTGACCGTGACCATGACTTCAATCGAGTGATGTAAACATTTTGAAAATAGCTCAAGGATATGGCCTTGAGCTCAAGGCTGTGGCCTTGGCCTAGTCATGTAGAAATTTTAAAATTGGAAAATGCAATGGCCTTGAGCCCAAGGCCATGGCATTGAACTCAAGGCCACCGAAAATCTTAAATGTAATAGCCTTGAACTCAAGGCCACGGGAAATGTTAGAAATTGGAAAATTGGTCGAGGCCACGGTCAAGGACAATGTCACGGTCAAGGTCCACACACCAACAACTTCTACAACAACAACAACTCCTGCATTCTACTCTGCTCTACTGCACTGTACTCTATACTCTACTATACTGCTCTGCTGCTCTATTGAACTGTACTCTACTCTACTATACAGCACTGTACTCTACTATGCTAATCTACTGCTCTAGCTGTTGCTCTACTGCACTGGACTCTACTGCTCTGTTGCTCTAATGCACTGGACTCTACTGCTACTTGGTGTATTTACATCGCCGACGACCCCGGTCCGGCCGACCTCTGACCTCACGCGGGGCCGCGGCCCGGTCTCGACGTCGCTCGTTCTGTCGCGGAGCCCGCCTCTGCATCGGTGTCTCGTCGCCACGGCGATGGCGGGGGGTCGGAGGTCACACGTACGTGTTCAGCCCGCGCTCCTTGTTCGACGTCACGCTCCAGTAGTCGCTGTCCAGTCTCTCCCTCACCGTCTCCAGCTTCCCCGCTCCTCCCCCTCCCCTCCCGCCTCCTACGCCGCCGTCGCCGACGTGGTTCGAGCGCAGCGGGTCGTGCTCGCCGGCGCCCCCTGCCGACGCCGCCACCGCGGCGGCGTCCGCATCCGCGTCGTCGTCGCGCGATCCCGTGCTGAGCGTCCGCAGGTGCAGGTTGTCCATCGTGCCGTGGTAGGGGGCGCTGCGCGACGACTGCTTCAGGCGCTGCGGCACGGACATGCTGAACGAGCGCACGAACGGCCCGATGCCGAACCCGACCCCCGCGATGCCGCCGCCGCCGAGACCCGCGACGCCGTCGCCGTGGTGATTCGTGTCCGGCAGCGTCAGCTCGAGCGAGTCGGTGCCCTCGATCTCGACGGCGGCCATCGGGATGTCGAGGCACGGCTTCACCATCTCCGAGTTTCCGGCGAAGACCTCGACGAGCTCAGTCGGCGCCGGCCGCAGCTTGGGGTCGCGCTCCCAGCACGCACGCATCAGCTTCACCCTGCAAGACAAAGGTCAGAGGTCAGAGGTCAGGGGTTAGGACACAGCTTCAGCTTCAATGTGTGTGTGTGTGTGTGTGTGTGTGTGTGTGTGTGTGTGTGTGTGTGTGTTTCGCGCGTGTGCGTGTGTGTGTGCGTGTAGGTGCGATCAATTTAAACGATCGAATGATGGATTTGATTGATCGAGCTAGATTTTCAGACATCGATGACGACGCCATGATGAGCGAATCCTGACCCGCTGGAATGCGGACAGCCACAGCCACAGACACCTAGGCCGTTTCAATAATAAAATGATTACAAATGAACACAAATTGTATTCACTACCATATAGTCTTGATGATTATGTAGTCTCTATCGACTAAGAAACACATCAAGATCAAATTTGCCACCTCACTCTATATTTTTGCGAGTTTGCGTGCGACAGTGGCGTGCGTGCATGCGGTGAGAATGCGTGCTGCAAAGCGGAATATGAGGTTATAAACTGCATTTATGCATGGGCAATTATTGCTAAGAATAGGCAAAAGAGAGTAGAGAAACATTTAGACGTTAATATTAATACAATTTGTGTTTATTTGCTATCATTTCTTTATTTAAACGGCGCAAGTGCAATAAGTGCCAGGAGTTATAGCTGTTCGATATAACGCAAACTAAAATATAAGATTACATCGCTATAAGCATGTCTTCCAGGACTTGGTATCTACAGCATGGTTATTCTAGCAGGGCTTTCTAATATGCAAATATTGACAGAGCGCTTACCCACCCGGACATATTACCCGGATATATATACTAATTGTACTGTAGGACGTGTTGCAGACATTGTCAGAGATTATGAAATACGTGACGGCCAGGAGTACTCTGATAATCATATGGTTATATCCAGGCGCGGCGTCACGGGGGGGGGGGGGCGGTTGCCCCCCTATGATTTAAAAAAAAGGGAAAAAAGAAAGAAAAAGAAAGAGAACAAGAAACTGGTTCGACGGGCCTGAAAGCTGTTGTTGTGCGGGGGAGGGGGGAGGATTCAGCCCGAATCCCAGCTCTTGCTAATTCTAATTATTAAAACCCTTTCACTGCGGGCTCAGACTGCGGGTGCGGCCGGTGAATTTTTTTTCCCTACACGTTATATCCATTGGGCTCCTCTGATTGGCTGCTTTGATTTGCTTTGACCAGAGCATATAAATCACGTAACGTACTTATCTACCGATCATAAACTAAAACAAATATTTGCAAATGGCATTTGTTCTCTTGTTTTGAAGGTTTGTTGAGTCAAAGCAGAGCATATAAATCTATATGTAGGGGCCTATATAACTTGATTTATATTCTCTGCTTTGACTCAACAAACCTTCAAAACAAGAGAACAAACGCCATTTGCAAATATTTGTTTTAGTTTATGATCGGCAGATAAGTACGTTTTCTGATGTATTTTCTATGAAAAACGCACATTTTACTCGTTAATATAAAATGTAATCTCACTATAATTACAATTCTTTGTGTAAATGTGTTATTTTCATCATAATCTTAAGTTATGAGAGGGTCTGGGCTCTCGTAATACTACATACGTACGTATACGTACTTAATTGTACTATAGAGTAGCCCTTTGCTCCGTCGCAGGCAGGAGAAAGGAGCGAAGGGCTATAGACTAGTACCTCCCTGCTAGTACTAAAGCTATACGTACTCGTTGACGCTAGACTGAGCAAAAAGTAAACAAACCTTTGTTATTAAACGACACGTATGTGTTAGTAATTGTTTACATTTGAAAATACATGTACACAAAGAATTGCAATTATAGTGATATAATAGTTTATCTTAATGAGTAAAATGTGTTTTAAGTTTTTCAAAAAAATACACCAGAAAACTTTTTTCTCAGTCTAGCGTCAACGAGTACGAGTACGCATAGCTCTAGTACTATAGCTCTTCGCTCCTTCCTTCTGCGACGTCCTACCCCAATTTCACACTGACTCTCGAAACTGCCTAACCTAACCACGTCCTGCCATTCTCCCTAATACACATGCATCAATGTAGCCGCCCATCTGGTTGAGCAACGCTGTCTAGCTGGACTATGGCTAAAACAACTACCAGTCTAGCTCCACTGACTAATCCGTGTAACGAGTATAAAATAGACGTTAAATGGACAGTGTGAGAGGTTTCACCGGACTTTAAATAATATGATTTCATGTTATGTGGCAGAATCTGGAAGGGATTGGGATGCAAAGCTGGGTCCCATTCTGTTCGCGTACAGAACTAGTGTACACGGAACAATGCAACTCACGCCGTTTTTTGTTGTCTACGGGAGAGATCCGGTCATGCCGTTGGATACATTCCTTCGGCCACGTAAGGTATCGTACACTGATGATCCAGTGTCGTTGGCGCTCGACGGGCTTCATCGAGCGTATACGCAGATTCAAGAGAACACGAGGCGTACACGGGAGAAGAATAAGGTTATTATATGACAAAGAGCTAAACGTGTGTGGCGGGGAGCAGGATTCGTGGCCTGGGACTCTGTTTATTGGTATAATCTACGACGAAGACCATCGCGAGTGAGGAATGCTTGCCGTCGTATTTTCGACGCACAATACTTACGTGGTAGTTCAACAGTGTCAGTCAGTAAATTTCTTATTGAAGGTATGTACGGACAGGCGGTACACTGGCGTAGCATGTCGATAATCTTCCGTCCAGCTTTTCCCAGGATCGCATGGGACAAGTACGTGCAGCTAGGGCGACAGTACTGACGACGAACAGACGGGTTATGCCGGAAGCAGAGTGCGTCCAATTCCGTTCAAGACGCAGCCGCATGGCAGGCAGCAAAGCTGATTGAGTGGGGGAAGAGGTCGTAATTCCCTCATGCGCAGCTGTAGTAAGGTGTACTGATTTTCAGTGAATTGTTCATTAATAATTTCTACTTGACTAGATAATACAGTCGAAACACAGTTTAGTCGTGGCAACACACGTTACGTGTGAATGCGGGTGCAGTGTCAGTGTAAGTTGGCATGGTATTAGCATTTACCAGATGTGCACTGGATGTGACAAGTTGTTGAATTGCTCCATGTGTTATCTGTTGAGTGAGTCGAGCAGTATGGTAAGTCTGTAAATAGTGTAATATATTTGAGTGCAGTCTGCTAGTATTATTATTATGAGGATTGATATGCTGTTACTTTATGATTAATTACATACCGTGATTTAATAGTTGCTGTGCATTGATGTTCTAGTTATTCGGGGACCATGGGTGCGAGTTGAAGAAGGTTAGCTATAAAGTGTAGGAAAATAATTTGTGGTAGGAGTGAAAGGGATTAAATGGTTAGCAGGAAACGGGGGATTAAAGGTTCAAAGATGAAGCATTACTGTTTTGATTCTGAATGATGGTCGTTTTAGTCATTGGATATGTAAGATTTGGTTGGATAAGGATTTTGAATGTGTTGGGTATTACATAGGATTGCGTTTTGATATATGTGTGCACGCATATATTAAAGGCCATGGTTATGTGATATCGTTAGGAGAGAGATACTGTTCGGTTGTTTTTATAATTTTTTGCAGTACGGGACAGATCCAGCGGGAGATACATCGACGAATCTCCGCTACACAGAATTGGTAATATTTCGGCACGGACATCGAGGAGCATCAGTTATACCAGTTTGGCAAGGAGCGACAAAACTACCGTGATCACTTCAGTAACGTCAACACTTCAACGACGCAAATACTTCAGCGAGAATTACAGATCATCGACCTATACAACTTTCTGAGAACAATATTTTGTTTAACACAAACACTAATGTGTCTTAGCAGATCTGGCAGTGCTGGTGAAGCTTTTGGCATAACCATTGGACATTATTCGAAGAAATTAAACTGGCCACAGGCAATTTTGACAAATTGCGTCGCGAATCAATTATGCATCGCATAGAAGTAGAACGAGCGCAGACAGATCACTACATCAAGGCCAGGGGGCCATCCGTAACATCGTCTAAGGATCAAGACTATTATATTATACTTGATTCTATTATTTTCAAATGTGTTGTTGTTTTTGTATTTCAGGTATGCAGTTATGTTTTATGGTATATTATTTTTGATTTTGGGGGTGTTTTCAGGTTATGCATTGTCCCGGGTATGTAATGAGTTTTGTGTTGCAATTGGGGTTGGTGTAGTTTTGTGTATTGGTTTCTCTTTTTCAGCTTTTTCGTTTCAGGGTTTTAAGGAATTGGTTGGCACAGATGTTTAATTGGGCAAATTCGTGTCAAAGTATGGTTTTAATATCAGTGAGGTCCGTGAGTTTTTTGTCTGGCGGCAGTGTTAGGCATAGAATCTGGATACGCATGTGGTACTGCTTTGGCTAGCCATAGTCATAGTTTGTGTAAATGTGTGTAGCTAGTATTTATGTGGGAGGGGGGTTGTGTTCAATTGAAGGAGTTAATTGTAGACGGTATGATGGATAAAGAACGATTTATTTATTGTTTGGGCTCTGTATTTTCGTCAGGAACAGGTGTGTGTGTGTGTGATTGTGTGTGTGTGCGTGTGTGTGTGTGTTAGAAGTGGTGTTGCTCTACTGCACTGGAGCTCTATACTGCTCTGTTGCTCTCAAATCGCAATGGAACTCTACTGCCTGTGTTCTGCTTCTAGCTACATGGACTCTACTGCTCTGTTGCTCTACGCTTCTGTTACCTCTACTAACACTGGATTCTACTGCTCTACTGCTCTGTTACCTACTAACTGGCTCTACTGCTCTGTTTGCTCTAGTTTTGATTCTACTCTACGATGCGGAGATTCCATCACTGCCAACCAGTGCCTTCACTGCACTGTATTATCCTACAGCGAATATTAGAGCTGTCCCTTTATCAATTATTGTTCAGCATCTTCTACACATCGGCCATCATATAAAAAGTACCTCGAAAAAATGTAGTACAGTAATATTTTATTATGAAAGTATTTCAATCGTGAAAGCATGTGCCTAATAATAGCGACGCGGTAGACTATAATATAGCGTTAATAAATGTACGTAATTATAATATATGTAACTAATAAATATAATAAACGTGAGTTTATAACAGGGGACCGTTGTCAGGAATATCTTACTCAATTCTTTTGCAAAGGTTCTGATCAGTGCCCACAGGGCGTACATATGCATACGCGGAAAATCACGGGGGACGTGTTCAGCAACATGACTACCAGTGACTGAGTGGAATATTACCTAGATTTCCAATTGTATTATTTATATATGAAAAGACAATTTCGTTTATAAAAGGTCGCCGATGACTTATTTTACCTAAGGGCAAAAGTGTTTTCCAACCACTACTTTTAGTTTAAAGTTCCATTACATTGATATACGTTGGTGGTTTTACTACAAGCTTTTAATCACGGCGTTCATACTTTAATTTAATCGTCAATATATCCTCTAATAATATTTAAAATAATAAAATTTAAGGAAATATAAATGGAAAGTGAAATATTTGTAAAGAGAATACTAGCTAGTTAACAACACGTTTAGTCAATAGCCAGGGGCGTGTACAGGATTTGGACCAGGGGGGGGGGGGTCTAACCGTAACCGCACAGACTTGCGACACGCGAAGGGGGTGTGGGGCCCTCCCAGAAAATTTTGAACATTAGACCCCAGATGCGTTTTCTGCGCGAGCAGGGGGGGGAGGTCCGACCGCCTAGACGCTCCCCCCCCTGTACACGCCCTGCATAGCTCTTTCAGAATGCGTCTCTCTAAAGAGAATACAACTAGCGGTCGAAAACACGTCGTCTTAGCCGTGACGTCATTGCATGGCTATCTCCCTGACAGTCAAATCAATACTCAATATTGTGAACTGACGAGATGCCGGGGAGCTTACATAAGAAACGTGTTACCGTATCGTGATGAAATAGTACGAATAGCATCTGCGCAAACTCAGGTCGGCATACAGGGCGTGTACGTAATAGCTGCTAGCCCATCTTCGTGTATGTGTAACTGGAGACCGGTAACCACTGAATCGCTCGCTGCTCGATTGTTGCCTTGCAAACGTGTCGATCCCGTATCCTGCTGTATGTTTATCTCGATTACGCTCAATGTTTATGGCGATTTCCACTGCAAATATTTTATGTGCAATGAAATTAATATAATTCGGACAAAGGCGGATGACGAATCCGTTGCGACTGGGACAAATGGATGTTTGTGGCATATTTTCTATCCGGCCGCCTCTCTTTCTCATCGTTCTCGCTGCTCTCCCGTCTCTCTCTCTCTCTCTCTCTCTCTCTCTCTCCGCCTACCCTTTTACTCTCGCCGCATCTTTATCTCTCTATCTATCTACCTATCTATCTACCTCTCCATCCTACCTCTCCCCTATCTCATGCTACTATCTATCTATCTATCTATTACTATCTATCTATCTATCGCTATGCTAATCTATCTATTCTATCTATCTATCTATCTATCCTAATCTATCTATCTATCTACCTATCTACTATCTAACGCTATCTACCTATCTACGCTATCTATCTATCTATGCTATCTATCTATCTATCTATCTATCTATTATCTACCTATCTTTATATCTATCTATCTATCTATTATCATCTATCTATCTATCTATCTTATCTATCTATCTATTTCTCTCTATCTAGTTTCTCTTTCTCTCGGCTCTCTCCCCTCTCGTCTTTGCTGTCCAATCTTTCTCTCTATGCGGCTCGATAGCCTCTCTCTTCTTTCGGCTCTCTCTCTCTTCTCTCTCTCTCTCTCTCTCTCTCTCTCTCTCTCTCTCTCTATATTATATATATAGTATATATATATATATATATATTGCCGTGTCTATTCTATCTATCTATCTATCCTATCTATCATGCTACCTATCTATCTATCTATTATCTTATCTAATCTAATCTATCTATCTATCTATCTATCTATCTATCCTATCTATCTATCGTATGCTATCCTATCTATCTATCTATCTTCTCTATCTATCTATCTATTCTTATGTATCATTATCTGCTCTATCTATCTTCTCTATTCTATCTATCTATCTTCTCTATTCTCTATCTATCTATCTAGTCTATCTATCTATCTATTATCTATTCTATCTATCTATCTATCTATCTATCTATCTATCTATCTATCTAATCTATATCTATATATTCTCCTCTTCTGTCGTTCGCGCTCGCTCTCGCACTGTCTCTCTCTTTCTCTCTCTCGTTCGTCTCTTCTCTCTTCTCGCTTCCTCTCGTCTGCTCTCTCTCGTCTTCGTCTTCTCTCTTTCTTCATGCCATATCCTATCTGCCCTTCACGACTCTTTCGGTCGTTATCGATCTCAACTTTCCCCGCCTGTCTGTCGCATCTCTGCCGCGCGCGCGGCTCTGCAATCTCTCTCTCCTCTCTCCTCTCGTCGCCCGTGTCTCGTCTCCCCCTCAACTCTCACTACCCTCTATTCTCCCTGATCTCTGTCCTCTCTGTCTATCTGTCTCGTTACTCTGTCTCTCGCCTATGTATGTTCTATGCTATCTCCTCGCCCCTCTCTCGGCTTTCCCCCCTTCTCTCTCTGTCGCTCGCGTCCGCTGCTCGCACTCTCTCTCAGTCTGTCTCTCGCATCGTCTCTTCCTCTCCCTTTCTCTCTCTTCTCGTCTCTCTCGCTCAAACCCTTCTCTCTCCATCACTTAATTTATATATCTCCCACCTCTCTCGTTCGCAGCGTTCGCCCTCACTTCCGCCTTTCTCTGTCGCTCTCTTTCGCGCGCTCACCACTCCTGCTCTCTCTCCTCTCTCTCGTCTCTGCTCTTCTCCGCCCGGCCCTCGCCCTCCCCTCTCGTCGCGCCTCTGTCTCATCCTATCGGCGTCTGCCCCGCTCCCCCCAGCAGACAGTGTACCGTCGCCCTCCGTGCTTTTCCGCTGCAGCCGACGCTGGCATAAGGAGAGACCCAGGGAGGAGAAACAGTGAGGATAACCATGCGCTGGCAAAATGAATGCATTGAGTATAAGCGGGCTGACGCAGGGAGGATAATACTTTCTTGCTCTCTCTGTCGTTCAATTTCTAGTTCCCCTTATAAATCCCCTGAATCCAGTATCCTAACTGCTAATATGCCTTTCTCTTGCGCGCACTCTCGTCTCTTCTGTCTGTCTCCTCCCCTCTCTCTCTCTTCTACATGTCTCTCTCTGTGTGGTTTCTTCTCTCGCGCTCTGCATGTCTATCATATCTCTCTCCCTCTTCACCACGCCTCATTTATACTCACATCTCGCTCTGCGCCAGCTCTCTCCTCTCTCTTTCTCGCTCTCATCATCTCTCTCAATCTCTCTGTTTCTCGGTATCTCCTCCCCCTCTCTTCTATCGCTCCTCCCTTCCTCCTGTCTCTCACTCTCCACTGTGATCGCCTTCGTGATCTCTCTGTCTCTCTCTCGTGGATCTCTCTCTCTCTCTCTCTTCTCCTCTCTCTCTCTCTCACTCTCTACCTCTCTCTTACTCTCTACCATTCTTTCTCTTTCTCTCTATCTCTCTCTCTCTCGCTGTGTGTCTCTCTCTCTCTGCATGTCTATCTATCTTTCTCCCCTCTCTCGCTCGGTCGTTCGCTCTCGCTTTCCCACCTCTCTTTCTCTCTCCCTTCTCTCCTCTTCTATAATATGATCACCTTATACAAGTAGCCGGTCAAGATACTCTACAATGCACAGCAACCGTTACGAGCAAATTTCGTTTGTAAATACATTATGCGAATATCCTAGTCCAAATAAATTAGAGCTTCCTTTCATTCTCCCTATAAACCCTATAATAACCCATATAAACCTTCTCCCAATAGTCATCGTACGTTAAATATATGCCATACAAACACTATACCTATCAATATAGTACTTGTAACATATCACTAATGCCAGAAAACACCAACAGATTCATAACATAGATATGTGTGCTATATATAGTATAATAAATAATACTTAATACGTTAAAAATAACCTTTTTGGTATGCTCAACTGGCGAGCGGTGCACGACGTTGCTCGAAAACATGTTGATTCTCCGTGTCCTTCAGCGACGTGATTGGCGCTAGAAATTTGACGTACACGAATTTAGTATTTGGTTTATATGAACCTGGAAAACGGAAAATGAAGAACTAATTAGAGGTGATTGACTCGCATATAGACTATCTGGCAATGTTGCTCAGGCTGACAGGTTACAGATATATTTTGTAATATGAATGTTGTATATAAATGTTGTATATATATATATATATATATATATATATATATATAATATATACATACATACATATATATCATCAGGAGATTTATATACTGATTGATAATATTGATACTGAGGGATTATTGATATACTCCTGATATCATATAATAACACCTGTGCACCTCTTGGTATATTCAACTGGAGACCGGTAACCACTCAATCGTTGCACGACGCTGCCTCGAGAACGTGATAATTCTCTGTGTCCTCCAGGCTGGCGATTGACCCTGAAAATAACTTTGATGCGTATATATCAATTCGTTGTGTTTATTGTGAGCTTAGACAAGGAAAACGGGGAAGAGAGAAACTGACTAACATATAGACGTATATAACAAATTACTCACGTGTGCGCCGGGCTTTACCGTTAATTATACCCTATCGCCAAGTATTTAATACTATAACCACGCATCTTTATGAAACTATAATGCATGAAAAGAGTACTTACAATTTAACTCATTCAGATATGTGCGTGCTATCCTGATTAATCCATTAATATTCTGTAATTAAACAAGTCAACGACATGTAACATCATGTATTAAGTATGAAATTATAACAGCTACGGAAGCTTCAGTTGAGGAAAGATTCCTGTATATTTATTTACTCACGTTAGCTGAAATTATGATGCTCCTTCGAAGTTCTCACAGTTTGACGACAGAAACACAGAGAGAACATGGCAGGGACTCCTCGTGCCACGTGTATACTGACCGTGATATATCTCGCGAGAGAGATGGCGTGACGAAAGTCCAAGTGATTCATTTATATATGCGCGCTGTATAATTATTTCTGACACTATGTGGCAGGTCACATTTGCTTACATATGCAATACGATGGCTATGTTGAACATACTGGCAGGCTAAAGAGATAATAAAATTTAATGCTCGTTTTTGTGTAATACACAATAACATACAATTCAATAAAGAATAATTATAACGAGTTTTCAAACCAAAACTTGTTAGCGTACATGATAAGCATGCGCTTCTCTCTCTCTCTCTCTCTCTCTCTCTCTCTCTCTCTCTCTCTCTCCTCGCTATTCTCATCTCTCTCTATCTCTCTCTGCCTCTTCTCTTCTGTCTCTCTCTTTCATCTCTCTCTCATCTCTGTCCTCTGCCAGTCTCGCTCTCTTTTTCTCTCTCTCTCTCGGTCTATAATCGCTCGTTTGTTTCTTCTCTCCAGTCTTCTCTCTGCTCTCTCTCTCTCTCTTCTTCTCATCTCCTCACTCTCTCATCTATCTTCTATCTCTCTCTCTCTTTCTCTCCTCTCTTCTCTCTCTCTCCCTCTCTCTCTCTCTCTATCTATCTCTCTCCTCCCATCTCTGCTCTCTCTCTGCTCGTATCTCTCTCTCCGCTCTTTCTCTCTCTCTCTTCTCGTCTCCTTTCCTTCTCAACTCTCTCTCGTCTCCTCTCTCTCTCTCTAATCTATCTCTCTCTCTCTTTCGCACGCCCGCTCTCTCTCTCTCTCTCTCTCTCTCTCTCTCTCTCTCTCT